TCCGGTCTGAACGTAACATTAGTGTTTTCGAATCTGATAGCAAACCAATTTGGACCAGCAGATTGCAAAACTATAGAGGTACTTGCAAAGACAAGGACACATTAACCCCTATAGATAGATACTACATAGGATGACCAAAATATGTCTGATCAGGTAAGTGTAATTTAATCTAAAAAGACTAAGTAAAACATTTATACTGGATGCTGGGTTCCAAATATTAAATTTTCACCTAACAACATAAGAAAATTCAGCAGAGAAGTCACCCTGTTTACTCCTCAGTCATTGTTATTCAGTGTTTTATCGTGTTCATGTTTTCTGAAGGCTTGGTGATCAATAAAACACAAAACAATGAAAATCAGGGCATGTGTGTATTTAAATGGACCACAACAACGGCCAGAAACAAACACCTGCTGAGATTACTAATGAGCGTTTGCATTACTTTGCCGGGTGGGAAGTAATGAAGGAGGGAGTGTTGTGACTTGCTGTTTATGTGACAAAGAATGTCAAACTATGTTTCTCTTGTGGGGGGGAATTAAGATAACCAACAGAGGAACCAATTTGGACACAGCAAAGAAAAGACACCTCTGAAAACTCTGTTTATTATTTTTCAGGTTTAACTTGCCCCTTTTTTCTAGTTCTGCCATGGAACTTATAAAACAGAGTAGAAGAAGGAAGGAGAGACTTGTTCAGATTATCTATCTGAACCTCCTAGCTTTAATATTCCAATATCACGAGAGGGTGTCCCATTACACAAAAGGCTGTAGTTTTATTACAAAAGATACACAAGAACTTAAAGAAACTGAAGAAAGCAGAGCATTTATATCTTATCTAACATCTGTAAAATATGCTGGAACCCTGAAATATCTATCTCTGATGCTCTCATGAACAATAATCCTTTCAGTAGCTGAGCTCAATAATTTAACATGGGACATATATATCTTCTCTCTTTTACATTTCGTTTTATAACAGCAACACAGGAGACATCACTTTGTATTATTTATTGCAGAAGTTGGCTGTAGAACCTATAAGCTACAACTCAGATGGAAAAGAGGAGTTTATAATGATGTTTTCTGGAAAAATTCCCTAAAGAAAAGTTAATGTTTAATGTCAGTTAGTCTGGAACCATATGAAAAATGCAACAAAATAATAGTGCAGCAAAATTGTCAAGAACTCTGTACACATAAAAAAATGTAAGAGAAATAGTCTGCAGAGGCAGAAATTCAAAACAAACAAAAATAACATGTAGGACGTAGAAACATGAGAAGAAGAAGGAACTGACACAAAAATGAGCCAGCTGAGGAGATTATATATATTGGTGGGTGATGACTTGGCAGCAGAGATAAGATCAGGATTGTCAAAGACAGCTACAAACTTTATCACACAGAAACTGAACAGGGGTACACAAACAAATCTACAAAACATATAAAAGTCAATCAGAAACCCAATAAGGGAAAACCAAAAATAAGACACAGAAAACTATTATGCTTTGATAACTTTTAATGCTAAAAGTTTCAATCTGTTTAGATGTTTATGATCTAAATTCAATATTTTCCTGACTACACAAAGTAGTTCAGGCAAGGTTTATCTATATAAATGTATTATCTCGACTAATAGCACCATTCACCCGACAATCAGACCCAGTTCTCATTAATTACCAAGGCCAGTTGGTAAGGAAACAAGTTTTTCTTTCAATGCTGTAATATTTTATGAGTAGAATTTGTCTATTCATCTAACATAAACATCTACCTGAATGTGATATCTGTAACAGAACAACAGCATTTCAAGTTCTCAATGAACACATTGTGTAATCGGAATTGATTATATTTGAAGTATAAGCACTCATAAGGTTTTCTCATTCAAAAAACCTTTCCTCAATTTATTAAACCACTGCATCTCAAAATACTAGAAAGGACTTGGTTTATAAGCTGTATTTAGTATTTAGTAAAACTAATTACAGTGCAACAAACAGAAATATAGTTTCAATATTTCGCATTTTGCTTAATAGAAATAGATCAGGAACACAAGAAGAAGCCCTAGGAAGCAGTTAGATCTAAAATTGTGGACTAATAGTGGCTTTAATGAAAATAGGTATGTTCACAGATCATGTTAAATTTGTTGTTTAATTTTGAAAAAAATATTTCTGGCCTCTAATTCCTATTATTTTGGTCTTGTCTCTACTTGCCTCTTCTGCTGAAGACAGGTAATGCGGCTAGTAATCATTTATATTTATTTAACAGCTAGGCTAATTATGGGGATTACATCAATATTCAAAATTTTGTGCAATTTTTATAATTATATAATTATTCTTATAATTTTCTGATATATTTAGCATTTTTTTATTTTTCTTTTACAAAAAAAACCCCACAAGAAAAATATAATTACATATTGATTTAAATACTTATAGCTAGGATTTAATATTTCAGATATGAATATATTGCCAGTACCTAGATGTTGTTGTGGACATGTGTGCTACATGTCTCTGGGCAGGGTTTGTTCCTTTGGAGATTGTTTTAAACAGTGTGTACACCCGCCTAGCTGACACATTAACTGACTCGCCATGTGACAAATGATGCAGTGAGTTAATCGGTTGTCAGACTGGTTGACAAATTCATAACTGATGGCAGCCTGTAGGCAATCTTATGTGCTTTAAATACAGGAGTAATGCAGAGAGTTGACTTTCAAGGTGATTTCTCTTTTTTAATGCAATATATGTATCTATCAACATCTAAATAGAAATGCTTACAGCATTATATGTAAGGAATGCAGATATTAGAACTGTATTTACTTAAAGGTATTCTTATCTCCTCCAAGTAGGTTATGTTTTTAGTCAAATTTGTGTGTTTGTCCGTCAATTTGTGTACAGGCTAAGTTAAAAAGTTATGAACAGATTTGAATTACATTTTTACCAAAGGTGCAACTCAGTCCAAGTAACAATTCATCAAAATTTTGTAAGGATTCAGATAATGTGCAAGTTTTAGCTATAGGTCCAAGTCACAAAAAAAATGTACTGCTTGGTGGAGGTCGCCATCTCCCAGTGCTTTTATAGTTCCTCTTTTTTTTTTGTGTAGAAATTCAAGGTGGAAATCTAAACATGGTTTAGGTAATAAGCCCAAGA